ATCTATCCATCCACCCACCCACCCATCCATCCATCCATCCATCCATCTATCCATCCACCCACCATCCAGCCACACATCCACCCACCTGCCCATCCACGCATCCATTTGCTCCTTGGGCCCTTCATCTATGACTCATTATTTCATTATTTCTTTTGTTCACTCTTTATATGTTATTCACTTACTCCATTATTCCCATTTGCTCTATCATTCATTCATTCACTCTGTCAGTCGGTCAGTGGATCAGTGGGTCAGTGGGTCAGTGGTCCGTCATCCACACACCCGTCTCCAGCCGTTCCTGCAGGCCCGTCATAGGACGCTTCCGTGTGCCTCCTCTATGCCCCACACCAGGTGGGACCCGTGGGGAGTGGACAAGACAGGAGGAGGGCTGCCAGACCAGGACGGCCAGGGCCAGGGAGGGGGCATGGTTCCCGAGTGGGGTGGGAGCCGGTGGCCACAGCGGGGCTGGGGGAACGAGGCAGATCCAGAGCACTGCCAGCCAAGGAGGCCTGCTGGTGTGGGGACGGCACAGGCTGAACCGGGCGGGGATGGGACAGGGCCCAGGGCTGAGGGTCTTCAGCGGTCACTGCCCCCACACCAGAGGAGCGCCCTCTGCAGGACCCACAGGACCACTCCCACTCACCGGTGCGCGCCTTCGTGGCCACCTCCGCCTACCGCCAAACACAAACTGCACCGGCAAGGTAGCACATGTACTAGGAGGCCAGAATGTAGCACGTGCCCAAGACCCACGGGAGCTGCGGCGTAAACAGGGTGGATGTGCGTTTCTCTCCAGGGGCGCGGCCGTCCTGATCCGCTCCTCCTCGTTCGCTGTGCACCCCTGCCCCTGGGCGCTGCCCTCCTGGGAGGGTCTGCGCGGCCACCACCTTACTCCAGCCGGCAGGCACACCCCACCCTTTGAGGGCACGACCCACAGGTGCTCCGGTCCGACTGGCCACGCGGTCGCCCCGGGCTGCAAGGAGGCACGGAGACACCACGTGGCCAGCTGTGGCAGGAGGCCCTCCTGGCAGCAGCCCTTTGGTGCTCGTTGGAGGTTGTGTGACGATGCCACGAACATAATGCTTAATGAAATATTCGCCTGCCGTGGAGTAAAGCAGGGAGCCCTCCAGGCAGCGTCCCCCACCCCCACTGCCAGCCTGCGAGCACTCTCGTGCAGGTGCCCTGTGACCTCCCGCCCGGGGGACCCCTTATCGGGCCCCTCAGCACACAGACCGTGTGACTTTTCCATCCCCTTGGCCCGGGACACCTCGCTCGCTTGGTTTCCCTCCCACATCCTGGGCGGCCTCTTCCTTGGTCTCTCCTGTCCCTGGCCGGGAACCGGATGGCGCCCCGGGACTCCTGTCCATTCCTCCTCCCCGTCTTTGCCGCTCCCTTGCTGGCCTTCTCCGATCTTTAAGTGCCATCTACTGGCCCACTGCCCACCAGATCCACATCCCAACCCCAGACCTGAACGCCAGCCTTGACTCACTGCTCAGATCCTAGCTGGCATCTCCAACTCAGCACATCCACAGCAAACTCTGTCACCCCCACAAATAGGCACCTCCTGCAACCTTCATCTCGGCCGATGGGGACCCCAAACCTGGGGGCCGTCCAGGCGATCAAGAAATCCCAGGCAAACCCAGAATCCGACTGTTCTCCCACTCCGCTGCTGCCCTCACTGAAGTCACCAGCATCTGCCCCAGACCACTGCACCCCCCCCCCCGGTCCCAATGGCTGCCCCTTCTCCTTTCCAGTGTAGACTCACCCAGCAGCCAGCAGCCTCCTGTGAGGATGTGAATCAGTCTCTCCTCTGCTCACAAACAGGGTAGTCATGCTCCTGCCTCAGGACCTTCGCACATGCTGCTCCCTTTGCTGGACTGCCTTTCCAGCACATCTGTAAGAACTTCCTCAGTCGTCACCTTCTCAGTGACACCTTCTCTGATCCTACTTAAATTTTGTAACAACCCCAGCCTCCACCACGGCCTCCACCACGGCTCACTCTATCCCCTGCTTTATCTTCTCTCACACTGCTCGTCACCCTCTGACACCCATTGTGTTATGCGTGCTTTGTTTGTTTTCTGGTCCTTCCCATTAGAGTCCCATTCTGCCCATTCACTGCCAGGACCCGAGTCCCATCCCAGCACCCTGGCTGTACCCTGTAGGTGTGCAGAAAGTGTTTGTTACGGTGAAATGAGTCGTTTGCTGCAAAGTTAATATTGTAAAACCCCACAGAGCTCAGGAAGCCAATGAGGTGGCTGAAGACTTGTTTTAAAGCTGTAAAAATCACCCTGGTTTACCACACTATCACTGATAAGGGGCCCAACGGCAGGAAACTTCCTTTTGCCGACAGGCTGCTCTCCAACCGTTCATCTGGACAATTCACGAGCACCAGGCCAACAAGAGGCACAGACAGAACTGGCTGAGAATGAACTCAGTCTTGTTTAAAGTAGCGTGCAAGTGGACAGTGGTCGTTGTAACGTAGGAGGTCCGGAACCATCTCCTGTGCACCCGAGTGCCCTGTGACTAGGGAACCAGTGACCTCAGTCTGTGCACAGCTGACCAACCCTGTCTCGTCCTGTCCCCGGGCCCTCCCTGGCTGGCCCACTGGGAGGCCGGGGACAGGAGTGAAGGCAGGGTGAGGCGGAGGAAGGGGAAGAGTGGTCTCCAGGACTTGGTGGGGGGCCTTCTCACCAGCATGGGGCCTGGAAAAAGACGGAGCTGCGAGCCACCTAACACAGGGCTAATATCCCTTAACCCCAGGAGGACCCCCTCAGAGAGGAAAGCCCTGTCCATGACCACACAGCTTCTGGGGGGCAGACCAGGGCAGGAGCACAGCTGCCCTGTGCGCAGAGCTGGGGCGGGATCCCAGCGGAGTTAGGGGGACTATGCCGGGCAGACACCCAGGCCGGGACGGGGGCTGGGGAGGGGCATCGGAGGGAGGGCGTGAGATTGTTCCGGGTCCAACCCACAGGGCCGGGGTAGGGCGCAGGAGCCCCCACTCCTGGCACGCTCGGCCCACCGGCGCCCCTGCCCCCCAGGGAAGCCTGCTCCAAAGACAGATGCCGGCCTTTCTCAACGGCTTCTTCCAGAACAGCGAGCAGGTGGTTGTGCGGGTCATGGGCACCGTGTCGGACGTGCTGCACCGCCTGGGCGCCAACGGCGCAGCCGCGCAAAGCCTCCAGGTGGCCATCAACGCCCGCTCCTTTTTCGACGACGTGAGTGTGCCCCGGCGGAGGCGGGCACGTGCCCTGCTTATGCCCCCCTCCTGTGCCTACCCCAGGTCCTCAAAGGCAGAGGGACCCCCCCCAACTCCCCTTCTGCCCGCTGGCCTGGGGGCTGGAGAGAGGAGCCCCAAAGGCGGATACACCTGGATGTGCACCCGGCGCACCTGGGCCGCACTGGGCCCACTGGCCGCCAGGTGGCGCTCGGCCCCGTCTCCACGAGGCTGGAAGAGCATCGCCCTTCAGGCCCTCCAGCCCCACCCTCTGCACCTTCCCGAAGCGCCCCGCAAGCTGGCGGTGACTGTCTCCCTTCACTGGGGAACTAGGGGGGATACGCCCTGCCCCCCCCCCCACACCACTTTCGTGACACTTGGGTGGTCGGGGTGAGATTGCGAGGGAGAGAGAAGTGATTTCAGGTCCTGGTGGAGGGTCTGGGACCCGCGAAGGGCCCTGAGAGGGAGGCACGGCCCTGCCCAGGGGCCCCAGACCTGGTGAGAGGGCTCTGCTGAGGGACCTGAGCCCCATCCCCTCCACAGGGTGGGGGCCCCAGGCAAGTTTGGCTGTGGCTCTGAGCCCCCGTCTTGCAGGAGCGGGATGGGATCCGGGCGGCGGCCATGGCGTTGTTCGGGGACCTGGTGGCAGCAGCGGCAGGCAGGGAGCTGATCGGCCTGCGAACCCAGGTGCACCAGAGCCTGGTGCCCCTGCTCCTGCACCTGAAGGACCGCTGTCCGGCCGTCGTCACGGTGAGTGCCCGCTGCCGGGCTTTCCCCCTGGCGGGGCTGAAGGTGTGCAGATGGCGGCAGGGAGCAGCCTTGCTCTCGGGCAGCAGGTGTGGCCACCGGCATTGGTGTCCGTGACTGAGGTTCGCCCCGTGCGCGTGCACGCGCACGCACACACGTGCATGCGAGCGCTTACGCACGTGCACGCGTGCCGCCGCGCCCTCTGTGTGGGCAGGACCCGGCCTGTTCCAGTCTCTGCCGTGTCCGCAGCACCTGCCACGTGGCGGGGGCTCGGGTTGCTCGCTGAACTTGGTGCAATGGTCAGGCTTTCCCATGTGCCAGCCGTGCCCCGTGTTGAGGCCAATGAGACACGGCGCGGCCGAAGAGAGGCATCGAGCGGCAGCTTCCAAAATGAATGGGAGACTTGCCTTGGGAGCAGCCAGGAGCCAGGCACTGAGGCCGGAGCCGGGGCTGCCCCAGAGGCCGAGGGTGGGCTGAGAGTACAGCGGGGGAGGACGGCATCGGGCCCGAGACCCACCTGAAGCTCGTGGTCTGAGGGGGGCGGGGGGGACACACCTCCAGCCCGGACAGCCCGGGCGGCAGGTGACCCCTCCCGCGGCTGTCCCCGCAGCAAGCCAAGTTCGCCCTGTACCGCTGCGCGGTGCTGCTCCGCTGGCGGCTTCGGCACACCCTCTTCTGCACGCTGGCCTGGGAGAGGGGCCTCAGCGCCCGCCACTTCCTCTGGACCTGCCTGGTGAGGAGGGGCCTGGGGCGCGCGGGACCGGCCCCTGGGAGGGAGGCGGGGACTGGGGCGGGGGCGGAGCCTGGAGGCGGAGCCGGGACGGGGCCTGGGAGAGTTCTGGGGCGGAGCCTGGGGGGCAGGCGGGGCTGAGGCGGGGCCCCGGCGAGGGCGGGAGGCGGGGCCTGCCTGATAGGGCCTGGGGCGGGGGCGAGA